CCCACCCAGCCGGCCGCCTGTCTGCCTTCCTGAGCTCATTATCTGCAGGTCACCGTTCAGCAGGAAAGACAAGGCGTGGGTTCTGCGGGCGTTCATTAGCCGTGAGAGGAACAGTGTGTGTGAAATTAGCAGTCACCTGAGGCCCTCGATAATTTCATAATTAGGAGGCCTAATGGCTCCAGCTCTGGATGCCAAATGACTTAACCCCTTGCCTGCTGGGCGCCAAACCCCTAGCCCAAGGCTGCAGGGGAGGGCCTGCAGTAGCCCCCTGCTCCAGTCCCTCCCTATGGCCCAATCACGCTCATTTCTGCCACCCCAGCACCCAGCACCAGGGCTGGCACAGAGGGGTGGCATGTAAAGTTTATGGAGTGAATGAATGAATGAATGAATGAACCTGTATCCAAATGGGGAGAGTTTCAGCCCCCGCTGCAGGTGCTTAGGGAGGAACGACTCTCCATCTGTGTGCGTAGGTGTGTGGCTGTGTGCATGCCTGTGTGTGTGTGTGTGCACGTGCGAGCATGAGGGCACACACATGTGGATCTGTGATGTCTGCTTCTAAGAACCTTGCGTGTGTCCATGTCCATGTTCACATCTGTGATACTCATTCTCCTACCTCCTGTCTGGAAAGAGAGGGAGCTCTGTGATGGGGCCCCAAGAGCCTCCCTTGATGCCAGCCTCTTCCGGCATCACCTGAATAACAGTGGCTCCAGAGTTTCTCTATCGGGGCACACTTAAGGGATAAAGGGGGCCAAGGAGTTTCCCTTGAACCTGCATTTGCATAGCAAGTGCACGTTTTTTAGACTGAATGTTTATTTGGGGGGCTGGTGCTATTAATGGGGGGCAAAAGTCACAGCCTTTAGCATAGGGGGAGCTGGTATGACAGCCTCCAGAAACCAGCCCATCCCCCGTCACTCTCAGCCTGCTCCCCCTCCTCCCAACCTTCCCCTAGTCCTGAAGAGGTGAAGGCCAAGGGGAGGGGTGGGGTACACCGGGCTCCAGGCCCGTGTAGGCCTTCCCCAACCTGGGACAATTGGTTCTGAGCCTCCTGCGACCCTGCCTCATTCCCCTAATTGTAGAGCAGATGTGGAGAGGTGAGTGGGGTGAGAAGGGAGGAGCATGAAGAAATGGGCGAAGAGGAGGTATGAGGAGAACAAGAAAGGAATAGAGAGAGGGAACAGGAGGGGAAGTGGGAAGAAAGGAGAGGAAGAAAGGATGGGAAGTCCCAAGGAGGTGAGAGAGAAGAGGGGAGGGGAGGAGAGGCAAGGAGGCTGAGAGCATTATCAGCACTTAAAAAGCCAGCAGCTCAGTTCTTCTTTGGCACAAATAATAGCTTTTTATGAATAAATCATGTGTCAGACGCCTCCCAGGGAGTGGGCATGGAGGGGGGCTCGTCTGCTGGGCTCAAGGCTGGTGGGGAAGGGCCAGTCGCAGACCCCCAGCTGCAGGGGTGGTGCCCCCTTTCTCCGGGTGGGGCTCAGCAGGACAGAAGCTCTCTCTAGAGTTACCACTGGCCTGAGCCGGGCAGAGCTCAGTTGTTACTCTGAGGTGGTTTCACTGCTCCCTGCTCATAAGCCTGGCCACATCCCAGGGTTGGGAGTGTCCCTCTGCTCCCCTCCTCTTCCTCCGCAGAGCAGCCCAGAAGACACTCCTGGCAGGGGAACACCAGCTCTGGTGCACCCGGAGAGACGTGTGCGCCAAGACAGGCAGACATACCCAGAGAGGAAGGCATGCAGCACACACAACTCACACAAGCATGGACTCCACAGCCCCGGGCACACATGTGAGCCTACTCAGAGATGGATACACTGGCATTCTCAATACACACACACACACACACACACACACACGCTCAGGCATGTGCGTACTCAGACAGGGAGGCTCCAACCATCACTCAGCCTGCCCCCCTCCCAGCACACTCACACACACACACAGGCCCACACAGGCAGAGGCACATGGGGCTACATGGACACACACAGACCTGCACATGCACACCAGCAGCCCACCCTCGGTCAGCCTAGGGTGGGGGCAGCTTTGCAGCCCATATGGAGCCCAGACCCAGCTGGACCATCCGGAGTCTGATTGTGGGGTGGGGCTGGGGCATCTGTCCCAGGGGAGGATCTGTCAGCCTCTCTGTGCTCCCCACCCGGCAGGGACAGCTACCACACCCCACAGTGAGGTCTCGCCCTCCACCTTTAAGTCCTGTACATGTCCTGCTGGCTCAGAGCTCCTTTGCTCTTGTGGTCACAGCCACCTCCCCAGAGGCATTGGAGGCTGCAGGAGAGCCTGGGCATTGGAGGTCCACAGTGCGGGCAGGAACCCGGCTCTGCTCCCTGCCAGCTGTGTGACCTCAGAGAATAATTCCAATCTTATTTGCTCTTCAAAACAAATCTGAGACAGGTGCTACTGTCCCATCTCCCAGAACAAGAAAGTGAGGCTCTGCGGGTAAGAGCACTGGGCATTCCTTTCTAGGACCATGCTCTTTGCACAGATTCTAGGAGCTCACAGTGTCCTGGTTTTCCTTCTCCTCTGCCTCTGGCGGCTCCCTCTCAACCAATGGGTTCCTCTTCCTGTGCCAAGGTGTGCTAAGGTATCCATGCAATCAGACCTGGATCCCCTGTTCTTCCCATTCTGCACCACCCCCAGGCCACTCCCAACACCTCCATGACAGCCTCTGTGCCCTTGGTTCTCTGAGCCTCTCCAGCCCAGACACCTTCCTGGGCTTCTGACCTCACTACCCAGGGGGGGACATCTCCAGGCTACCATGTCGGCCAATGCCAGGGAATGCCATTCACACAATATACATGCTCCTGAACACCCCTCCCACATCCCACTGGTTCCCGTAGTACCCAACTCAAATTGAGCCTGTCTGAGGCTGAATGCACCAGCTTCCCCGGGGCTCCTCCTGCTGGGATGTTCCCCCTCTCAGGGAAGGGCTCTGTCTGCCCAGGTGACCAACTCAAAACCAGGTATCACTCAACTCTTCCTTCTCCCTCATCCCCCATGTCCAATCCACAACAAAGTCCCAATGACCCCACATCCAAAATATATGTGACCTCATCCTTTCCGCTCCAGCCCTACTGCCCTCCCATCTCCCTCCTGGTTTCAGTCACCACCAGCACCTCTGGCCTGGCCACTGACTCTCTCCCACTGTTGCCCCCTCCAGCCCATTTGCCTCCCTGTCATCAGTAACCTTTCTGTCTCTGAGTTTTCATCACACTAAACTGCCTTTGGTTCTGGAACCCATATGATCTCTTGACTCTGGGCCTCTGAACATGCCGTTCCCTCTGTCTGAATCCCTCCCCTTCCCAAGGCCAACTCATCCTTCAAGGCTCAGCTGAGATAGCACCCCCTCCAGGTACCTTCCCTGACTCCTCAAGCCTGGGATGGGTGCAGCGTGTCATTCATTCCCACAACAGCCCCCTGGCTCCTCCCTTCACTCCAGCTCTGACCTGTAATCGCCTATTTACTCATCCATGTCCCCCTCGAGCCTCTAAGTTCCTTGAGGGGAGAGACTGTGCCTGTGATGTTCTCTGTGGCAGCCCCAGTGCTTGGTATAAGACCTAGCACATAACAGTTGGTCACTAAATCTTCTGTGGATGAATGAATGAATGAGTGCAGGACCTCTGCTGAGCACATTACATACCTTTTCTCCTTTACTCCTTAGAAGAAATCCATGCAATCAGTGCTACAATCCTGTGGTCTAGACCAGGAAAGCAAGGCTACAGAGGTTAAAAACTTGCCCATGGTCACACAGCCAGTAAACCGCCGGGAATGGATTCAAATAGATGTCTGTGTGCCTTCAAAGGCCTCCTTTCCACCCCACCTTGCCTTCCCAAGCCATTGTCCCTCTCGGACCTTTTTCTCATCTGTATATCGGGGACAAAAATCGTGCCTAATACATGACCTGACACTAACAGGTTCTCAGTAAATATCTGTGCCTTCTCTTCCAATCTCTGAGGCTTATTCAGGACAGAATTTCGCCAAACCAGAAACTTCCTGCATGCACATGTTCACGGAAACAGGTGCAGAGCTCCACACAGGCACATCTCCAGCGTCCGGAACTCAGTAGGCCCTTAACCAATGTGTGTTGAGCAGACAGACGTAGTGAATGCTGACACATACTCAGAGGCAAAGCCACAGTAGGGGCTCAGGCACAGGGACACTCCGCCCCCATGATCCCTGCCAACTCTCCTCCTCTGCTGCTACGCCCCCTGCTAGCCCAAGGCGCGGGAAATATTTAAAACAATTTTATTCATGAAAATATGCTGTACAATGCACTCTACACGGCCTCGACACGGCACACACGCACACGCACACGCTGACGGCACGGCCACGGTACACTGCCTACGATATGCGCCAGGGACGCCGCGCCCACAGCCCGCCCCGACCGGACACTTATAAATATGGGAGAGAGGAGCCAGGACTGGCACGGAAAAAGGGGTGTCGGTTGTAGGGTGGATGGGAGCTGAGGCCCGCTGGAGAGACTGACACCAGCACTAGGGGGTGATGGGGAGGTTGGAAAGAGGGAGGGGAGAAGCTGGGGCCGGCAAGGATGGGTGGGAGGGGCTGAACCGTGGCGGTGGGAGGTGGTTTAGGGCTGAAAGAGGACAGCTCAGGGTGAACAGTAGGTAGGTGTGAGTGTATTTTCGGGAGGGGATTGCTGGCTTGGGGTGGGTGAGGCTAAGACCAGTAGGAAAGTGTCAATTGAGAACTAGAGCGCAGTTTGGGGTGGGCGATTCGTCATGGCGAGGGCCCCACAAATGAAACTGAAGATTCGGAGACGCCCCCCGCCCCATCTCCCGGTTGGCTTCCCCGACCAGCGCGGCCCACCTCGCTCCTCGCCATTCCACCCAGCCCGGAATTCGGCCTCCACTCCCAGACTTCCTGCCCCCGGGGGAAGGAGTGGGTCTCAGGAGTCTGGGCAGCAGTGGAGGGGTGCCCCAGCCCCTCCCCACCACTTCCTTCAGCGGTCAACTTCTGAGGGATGTCTCTAGCTGGGCTGGGGCTGCCTCCTGGATCCTCCCGCGGAGCTGGAATCGGGGGTGGGGTCCCGGGGATCAGGATGGGAAAACAGAGGCCCCTTGGGGCGGGGCAGGCACCCGGGGCGCGGGAAGCGGCCCTCAGCCCGGCACCCAGCTCTGGTTGGGGGGCGGGGCCCCGGCCAGGCCGGGCGGCGGCGGAGGCAGGGCCGAGTCGAAGTTGAAGTCCATTTCGTCGCTGTCCATGAAGTCGTTGAGGATGATGGACTCGACGTCGCACTCGAGGCTCCCGCTGAACATGTCGAGGTCCAGGTCGGCCGGGAAGCGGTCGGGCGCGGCACCCAGCGGCCCGGCAGCGGCGGCCGCGTACGGCCCGGGCAGCGCGTCCAGCAGG